AGAGGGTGGGGGGGGGGGGGGGGGAGAGGTAAGATGGCACGAACGTGTTAGTTACCCTGACGTGTCAAGTATGCACACATATACACATGCGAGCGTGTCCGTATATGATATACACGTATATATATACACATATCGCGCAGCTTATTGCAATGAAGCTGAGGAATTACGCATCTTTGATCCGCGTCGATATTATTTTCACTTCGAAATAAATATATGTCCTTATCGCTCTTTTCGTCTATCTATCTTTTTGGCCTCTATCACTGCTTTGTCGTTTTTTTTTTTTTTTTTTCTATCTCTTGCGTCCGTCGTCTTTTTTATTGTAATATTATGATCGCCATCGCGCAATTATCTTGTTTGTATTCGCAAAGTGAATATCTTAACCGATCATTCATGATTCGTTTCAATAATCCATAATTTCTATGTAACAAAAATAGAGAAATCAATTTTACGTAAAACTTGTAATATAATCCGAGTAATGCTAATTATTAATTTAATTATTTTTGGTTTTCTCAAATTATCTCGGTGAGATTAAATAAAACGAGAGATTCTATGTATGATAAGATAAAATTATATTGCTTAACATTGCATAAGAATAAAGATAATTTAGAATATTGTTTCGATAATTATAATAATAGTATCGAAAATAGAACTGACCTTATTATACCGAATTTGACCCTTGAATTTAATTAATCTATCACTCACCGATCGATTCTTCGATCCCATCACCAAGTACAACGATCAAGATACATAAGTCCCGCGATGTAAATCCCTGTCTTCTGACCCACGTGGTTCATCCCTTTCGCGAGCTTCCGATCCATTGATTAAGTCTATGAATTACGAATAAGCCACTCAGGGAAGACGATACGTCGTCGGCAGCAGCAGTAGCGGCGATTTAAGCCCATTCGAAGTTGTTTTTGCTGCGTAGAGCCGAGCAAGCAGCTGAATAGCCAATGAAGATTAAAGCTTTCGTTTCACGCGAAGCCGGCTACCGGGCATGAAATTTGCAACGTAACGTATGATTCACTTCGCGCGACTTTATCTCACTGATCAGATAGGATCAACGCAGTTTGCTTTGAAAATAGCATCGAATCTCTCTTGAAAATCCGATCGCTCAGCCAATGATAAAGCGCGTTGCGGACATATTTTTCTTTCTCGCAAAACTCGCTGCAGCGTCCTGCAATAGAAACAACTTCGGATTCGTGGGCATCCAGCGTTGATCGCTCAACTTCTTCGAAAGTGAATTACGTTTGCCGCCGAAATCGCGTCACGACGAGACCGACGTGCGAACGTGAGCACCAACGGCGTGTGCCTCGACCAGGTCCTTTAACTTTTCCCGACCCTTTCCCCGCTTCTCATCATCACCATCACCATCACCACCACCACCACCACCACCATCTGCGACAAATGATTGTCAGCGATACCAGCGGTGACAGGACATCGGTGATGGACAGCCGTCGTCGATGAGAATCGGCGCCCGACTTGGCGTTAATCGCGGGCCGTTTTTTGCCGACGCGGATCGTCGAGGACGGCGTGACGAGTGACGGATAGCCCACGTGGCCGTGGACCGTGTTGTCCACCGCCAGTGGCCTGTTCTCCGTCCTGTCCATCTCCGCCGAGCCGTATACTACTTCGTCCTCCTCGTCGTAGAACGTTGGCCACGCCGTCTGCGTCCTCGTCGGTCCGGAGATTTCTGAAACAGCGAAATAAAACGCGATTCTTAAGATGCAGAACAGAATATATGTGATTAGAAAAATATTCATTTCCTTGATTATGATTATAGAGATTTTTTATATAGAAATCATTATTATAACAATCGATATGTATCTATCATTTATAATCAACATACATACGTATGTTTATAATGATATTCCGGCATCGCTTCAACTAGAGCGAGTTAAACGGCTTTTCTCATTGTACTGTTCCAAAAAGTAGCAAGATCGCGAATTTATCGGCGCTTATCTGAGAATTCTGACACTTACGTTACAAACTTTCTCGAGAGTCTCTTGAATAAAGGAAAGAAGTTCAAACCCGCGGGGCGCTTGGAGATAAGATAACTCGACCCGCACGCGTGTCATTCTCATGGAAAGAATTTAATATCGAACGAAAGTGGACACGTGCGTACACTCGTATATACGGCATGTTCCCTAAAATTTTTGTTGAAATTCAAGAAAAAGTATTCCGCGGTGAGTTTGGGGAGAACAATGTTTCTCGGTAAATATTGATCGCATTTTTTTAAATATTTTTAATAAATTAAAAATTTTCAGATATCAAACGAAAATTCTGTTAACAGATAGGAATACATGTAACGCTATTTCCTGTATCATCACTTTTAAATTCATGTACGCAAATATGTCGTCTTTACGTCCACTGTACCGGATGGAGACCTCGCCCTCGAAATCGATGGGTCGATAACACGCGACGATTTACGAACGTGAAGGGTGTACTGCATTCGCCAACCTTATCTTTTCGCCCTTCCGTCTCTTACACAGCCCCTGGAGAGCTGCTAGCCGAGAAATTCGACATCGCGCGCGCGCGCGTGGAAAGACGAGGATTGACCGAAAGGTATCTGACGTAGGGGGGCAGATCCTCGGGGGGGTTTCCGTCCGTAAAGTGACAATGCTTGTAAACGCGTGGCGTGTTTGCCGTAAGAGGAGAAGGAGAAGAAGGAAACCTTCTCTTATTCCTATCATCTCGCAATCAGTCACGGGAGCGCGAGTTTACACTCCGCTCGACGACTGAAACCCGAGCAACAATTTTCACATGGAGTTGTTGGTACAGGGGACTCGTTAACCTCGCGACCCGCCGCATTAATGTAGGAATAACAGGTCGTGCGCGAAAGCAAATTCCGCCCACCCTTCGCCTCGCCCTTTGCGAGATACTCGGTGTAACCGAGCTGCAACGCGCGGCAAAAAGCCGTTTCCGCGCCATAATTCGTTCACTGCGAATAGTCGAGAGCCTTGTTACCCGGACGCATTTAAGATTGTTTCGTTCGCAGCTACGCAGAGATGTGCGGAATGTTTTGCATGGTACGTAATGCAATTCGAAAAGGTATTTCTGGAAGGTTCTGGGGTCGTGCTCTTTCTTGACAAAAATAAAATCCGCCCATAACCGGCCAAAGCTCCTTAACATCGAAAATCGAAAAACTTAGGGAATTAAATTTGAAAAATATATAACAGAATTTTATTCTTTATTTAATATTATATAGGTTTTACTTTCGCAAGATCTTAGTTTGCGATTTTATAGTTACTAAGAATTTTAAATTTGATGAAAATCTTGTTTATTTGTTATTACAGTTTGTCATGTAAATTTGATTCTTACAATTATATTCGTGCCGTATTAACAGATTCCGAGAAGCAATGTTATTTCCAAAGTATCAGCTGTAACGTGCAGAAAATTAATCCCGGCGGGCTACTTATATAAGTACAATAATTCATTCACAGTTTACAAGGCAAACCTCTCACCCTCGACCTCTTCCGTGCAATTATCTACGGATCTATTTGCAGGTTTTATTTCACGGTACGAATCTTAATCCTTAGCGTTACGACCATCTAAAGGAACAAAAAAAAGGAAGAGAAAAAAAGAAGAGAGAAAAAACGAAGTAGGAAAAGAAGTAGGATTATCCGCAAATGTACACGTGCACTGAAACGAAATGCAGCGCGGATAATGCAATTCTCCCCGTTTTGACTGCGTTCCGTTGAGTAATCGAATTAGGTATTCTTTATGGGCTCCCCGGAAAACTTCGTTTGATAACGGTCGAAAACGCGCTGTGTACTCACCGTATAATCGAATACTGCTCTCGACCTCGCCGAGGGAATTTTTGGCCGCGCACCGGTACGTTCCCACGTCTTGTTTCTGCAGATTCCGGATGGTGAGGATCATCCGGACCTCGAACGGTGACTTCGGCACCGCTTGCACGTCGTACCTGACGCTAGTTATTATCATCGCACCTTGAGAAAAAAAAACGCACTTAATTATTTCATGTTTGATAGATAGAAAATTGCACTTTATTTCTCTTCGAGCTTGCGCATCCAGCATTTTTCTCGATTAATATGCGGCAAAAATGCATTATGAATTTCACAGAAAAATGTGGAGAGTTAGTGTTTTATTCAACGGAGGAAGAGAGACTGAAACTAGAAATAGATATTATACAAATTTTTCTCGTATAAATATCTGCACACACGAGAAAAAAAAATTAAAATTATAATAAAATTATAAAAATTATAAGTTGGTTTGAATATCATTCTATTTACTTGTGTGTGTTTTGGTAAAAATATTTTAATAATCTATATCACACGCAAAATGAATTATATCTGTTTGTTAAATTATTTCAATTAAATTCTGAAATATTTTCATACTATGCATAGCAAGCAGTTGAAGGGGCAAGAGATTACGTCTCTTGCTATAAATAAGACATCTCGCCCGTTTCCTGCTATGCTTTCTTATTACACGTTGAAACAGTTGCATATAATGGGAAACAAGTGAAAGGTATCTTCCACGCGAGACGAAATTGCATACGAATGCATTGGAGCGAGGAACTCTGGATAGCTGAGCGTGTGTTAAACCGAGAGGACGTCTGACTCTTGTGAGGTGAAATCCACTGCGAGAATATTTCCGCGAGTCTGGAGAGAGATAAGTAGTATTCTCTCTTATGTCTATCTAAAATTTTCTTGAGGAATTCTGAATCAAAATATATTATTATACGTCATTGCAATATAGCGCTATTGTTCGTTGAAATATTATGCGCGATTTCCGATACCTGAGTTGACTTTTTATCGATAAATCTATATAAAAGAATTTAGAAAAAGTTAATTGTTTTAATGTTTATTGAGAATTTTCATATTTTATGCTTTATATATTTTGTATAAAAGAGAAAAAAAGATGATCAAATTATCTCGGATTTTCCTTTTGTTTATTCATACAAGTTTAGAACATGTTTCCAATTACGCGAATAAGTTTCTGGAAGCTGACGATACTGAAATATAACGCGATACGTATCTAATATCGGAATCGCCTAAACTAAAGTACGGTCTATAATCGGATTTGTCATGCGAGAGTAATTAATGATCGAGCATTTCTCCGTTAGTTGCAGTAGTAATTAGTTAACAAGCCAATCATTGTAACGGACTATACTACTTGTGGTAGCATTGTGCTGGCCAAATGCAGATATATAGATTATATTCGCATATATATACGAGTTGAAAGATATTCCATAAATTATACCTATATTACATTAAACGATAATTCCGTTTCGCGTGAAAGTGAAAATTGTTGCATAAATTAATTATTATTACAATTAATATATTTTCTGTGTGGAAAAAAGAAAAGAGAACTAAGTTATTAATATAATTGGAAATGCATATTAGTATATATTGATAAATAATATAATACATACATTACATATCGATCAAGAGTTAAAAAGTCTTACAGAGGATTTATTTGAAGTTATAGATTTTGAAGTTATATATACGTGATCGTTTATGAGAATTACATAATTATTCGCATAAGTTGATTTATTTTATAAATTGCATTTTGAGTGTTCTTTTAACATCTTAGTAATTTCATTTATCAAGGAATATAATCGAAATTAATTCAAGAAAAAAAAGGTGTAATTCAAGGTATAATCGAAAAAATCTAATTTTATATATATATATATATGTGTGTGTGTGTGTGTTTCTCTCTCTCTCTCTCTCTCTCTCTCTCTCTCTCTCTCTCTCTCTCTCTCTCTCTCTCTCTCTCTCTCTCTCTCTCTCTCTCTCTCTCTCTCTCTCTCTCTCTCTCTCTCTCTCTCTCTCTCTCTCTCTCTCTCTCTCTCTCTCTCTCTCTCTCTCTCTCTCTCTCTCTCTCTCTCTCTCTCTCTCTCTCTCTCTCTCTCTCTCTCTCTCTCTCTCTCTCTCTCTCTCTCTCTCTCTCTCTCTCTCTCTCTCTCTCTCTCTCTCTCTCTCTCTCTCTCTCTCTCTCTCTCTCTCTCTCTCTCTCTCTCTCTCTCTCTCTCTCTCTCTCTCTCTCTCTCTCTCTCTCTCTCTCTCTCTCTCTCTCTCTCTCTCTCTCTCTCTCTCTCTCTCTCTCTCTCTCTCTCTCTCTCTCTCTCTCTCTCTCTCTCTCTCTCTCTCTCTCTCTCTCTCTCTCTCTCTCTTATTTCTTTAAATAAGTTTGTTTGTAAAATTTTTCCTTTCCTGTTAAGTATCTATCTAAAATTACTGAAATATTGATAGCAATCAGAATGCAATTTATACAATTTGGAATCAATCTATGCGAATAATTACAACAGTCTAATAAACATAACAAATTGAAAAAATATTTCCAATACACAATAAATAATAAAGAATATACCTACGGGCAATATTTTGAATGATGAGATAGATAAATATTATGAAATCTTTAAAAGACGATGATTACGTAATACATATATTGCGTTGGAATATCGCGGTGCGAGAATACTCGATAACGGAACGATAATTACAGCATGCAGTGCGAAAGTGTTTTTTAGCGAATGTTGTCTCACCCTTCGGATCCTTGACCCAATAGTTAATCGACATCGGGGACGCCTCGACGAAACATTCTAGGACCACGTCGGTCCCCAAGGGCGCACCGACCAGCTGATTGGGTACGTGAATCACCGGTGAAACTGTAAATCGAAATTGGAAGATATGGTTGCATTTCTCGAGCCTCTTGCCATAAAGGAATCGAGATGCACGATATCCGGTTCAACGATTCGGATCGTAATCACTGTTACTTACAATGAACGTTGATATAAATACGTTTGCTGACCGCGGGCGGGACCCCGTTGCTGGCGATGCACAGATAAACCCCCATCTCGTTCCTCGAGATCTTCGTCAGCTTTAGCTCCTCGCCCAAAAACTCGTTCATATTATACGCTGAGAACGGTGTACGTTAAAGTCGAATAAGACCGAGCACATTCGATATGAGACTGCGCGCGCGCACCGCAACATTCTCGTCCATGTGCTTTAAGCGGTAAGATTTTTTTTCCACTAATGTAAAGCAAGACTTTTTTTCGAAATAACGAGATTTAGTCGATCTAATTACATTATCTAATTACACACACACACACACATTATACAGTAAAAATAATTTAATAAATTTAAAATATTTCATAGTTATCTTCTGCAAATCGGGCCATGGATTATGAATTCATATACATATTAAAATTTAATAATATCTTATATCTACATCTTTTTTTAAAACAAATGATTATTAATATGAGCAAAGTTTTATTAGATATTTTAGATATGTAAAGAGAACGAAAAAACTGAAGATAAAAATACGAAGATAAAATACAATTAGAATTATTTAAGTTCATCGAGAAAGTAATGATTATAGAAAATAAAATTAATAATTAACTTGAAAGAGGGAGAATACGCTTTCTTGCTTTATTAAAGCTACTTTTTGTCTGACAGTTGCATAATAATTATACTAACTTAATTGCTAATGTTTTTATAACAGAAACATTAGCTAACAACTTATTGTTTTTGGCTATTGTTATTTAATGAAAACCATTAAATACAGATGTGCGTGAATGAAAAAAGAATATAAAACGAACAACCTATTACAAAAGCGGGCGATGATCAATAAAATAACAAACGCTCTTAATGATATTATATTCGTGCTAATTACGCTTCTCCAATATTTTATTGTAGAACATGCAATATATATTACATTTCGCATGCTATATTTTCAATACGAATTCGTATTCACGATTTGCAAATTTATTCATACCTTCAAAATAATGCTAAAGAAATGTATATTTACTTTTCGTGAAATTTGAAGCGTATATTTATATTGGCGTATATGCAGTATAAATTAATGAAAACAACGTAATACGGTATAAATTAATGAAAATAAACAATTTGATTAAGTGACTGCATATTATATACCGATGAATGTTTTCAGATGCAAATAACAAAGTGGCGCATGCGGATAAGACGAGCGCAATTTGTTGCACCTGCAGCTATTCCTTGTCGCGAAATATCGTAAACAAACGCAGGAACCTCCCTCACCTGCGGCCTCGTTACACTACGTCGCAATTTAGCTTGTAAAAGCATTAATTTTCCCAAAGATTCTGAGTTTCTCCGCGTTTTCTACCTGGCCTATCAATTACGCGAAACAAAACGAGTGTTTTGCGTTTTATTAATTAAGCGCAGATGAAAAAAGAGGATATATATATATATATTTTTAGAGAACGTTACATTTGATAGACGGTATCTTTTAAATGCTTGATAATAAAAAAAGATTTATAATGATGATGAATCTTAAATGACGGATTCTAAAAATATAATTTATGGGACGAGCAAATCTAAAAATTCTCACATTGTTACCGCTTTCTCCTTTTCGTTTGTTTATTTTTTTAACATTTGAATACGAAATGTTCGCGTAACCGCGTTAGCTGGCGGTCGCGCGACCGGTAGTCTCTTCCGGCATGACTTTGATAATCACTGCGATTGTAATGCCGACAATAAGCCGTCGAGTTGGGTCGCCCGGAGGTGCAAGATCGCGCCCGGCATACGCTGCATCCATCGGTTGCAGCGGCATGCATCCTTGCTGTGGACCGCGTCGACAGTATGGTGAAATTTGCCTGCTATTAGTAACACCACGCTGAAGTGAATACTAAATACATCGTTTACCCGGGACTTGCAAGACAGGTGAGAGCGAAGCGGGATGGTTTGTGAGATCAACGTTTTGATCATTTTATGAATGTCTACTTTAAGGAAGATGCAGTAATTTTATTCAGCCGGACGTTTGCGTTTCTTCTTTTTTTTTTTTTTTTTTTTTTTTTTTATAATGTACAGTCTAGTTTGTATCTGTTTGATATATGAAAGAACATGTTTTTTTTAACTGATTGAGAATGGAGAAATAATACCGAACAGATTTTTATTTAATAGAAATAAAAATTGATAATTAAGAGAATAAAATTAATCGTAAAAACTATAGCTGAAAAAGAAAGCTAATTCTCGATAAACTGCGATTCTTTTCTTTTAATATGGACATAAATTATGAAAAAAACAAGGAAGGTAGACGGCACGTGTTTCATAATTGGCCCAATATTAAATTCAACATTACTACTTAATGATCCGCGGAATGAATCCGCGGCGCGGCCGGCCATTGAACAGAAGTCGCCGGCGAAGGCATTATTTCGGAGCATCAGCGGAATCGGTTTCCGGGCGAAATTCGTCTTAAAGTACGGAAACGGCGGTTCGTAATGAGGGAATTTGAATACTAACGGGATCGCGGAGCGCGGTATGCGCGCCTAAGGAAAACATAATTGTATATTCCGCTCTCTATATCGGCGGAACGGCGCGGTGCGGCGACGAGGGCGTGCCATCTATATTAAATCTTACCGTGAGACTTCTGGTTCGGGGTGCTTCCTGGAAATGGCTCCCGAATTATAATGTTCCTGCCGTCTTCTCGGCGCCAGGATACGCGCGGCTCGGGTACGCCTCTCGCCCGGCACGTTAACTTCACCTGTACGTGTTATGAAACCGGAATTATAAAGAGAAGCGAGTTCGTTATTGCACTCCACTCTAATGCCGTGCTTCATCCAAATATATATTTGGAAATATAAACGAGAGGGGGGGGGGAGGAGTGGGAGAGAAAAATGCGCGCGCGCGCGCGTGCACAGACTCCGTCTCTCTATGTAAAACACGTACGCGCGAGGACGTTTGTCCGAAACAATGGCGGCTCGCGCGGATATTCGAGCGGAAAACGAATCTATGGTCGCGAGGGGCATGAAATATCCGGCGTTGGGATTTTTTTTTTTTTTTTTTTTTTTTTTTTTTGGCGGTTATTAGTTCTACCGCGTGCTTGCACGGCCAATTTTATCGAACCTTCTCGAATTCTCGTTAACGGATGCCCAGTTTAACGATATTTTTGCTTCTGGGTGGCTTGAATAATGGAGTGATACGAAGCTATTTTTGAATGAATGAAATCAGGCACCATAAAATCAGCTTAATTTTTAAAATTTGTCATCGGCATGTTACATTCACAGATCCATCCATTATGAATATATCAATTTGATTCTCATCAGTTACCGAGTTACGCGTATTCGAAATGAATGCAAAAGATAGGATGGGTTACGAGTTGCAAAACACGTACGCGGAATGAATATCTGTGTGTTCTACAATGGAAAATATAAACGGCGTGTTGACAATTAACGACACGACACGTGTCGCAGCATACTGCGCTGTTTGTTGGCCTGCATTCTACTGACACGCTTGCCTGCTAGTTTGCAATATCGGTGACGTTTTTAGATGAATATCGTGTTAGCACGGTTCCGAGGTGTAATGTAAGTTATTACATACGTACAGTTTGCATAGCTACCTTCAAAAAAACATAAACTGAGTATTATTCACTCGATTCTTTCAAAAAACATTTGGAGGATCAAAATTAATGTTTAAAATTTATATAAAAATGCATAAAATAATTAAACATAGTGTGATATATGACTTTAAAATTTTGATTATGCCATAACGCAATCTGATTTATTGAAAATACTTTTTAAAGATTTAAAAAAATGACAAGCAGATAATATACAAGTCACTTAATATATTATTAATATTTTTATTATTTACACAAAATATTATTTTGTTATTGATTTTATACCTGAAATAAGATCGGAAATATTGATTTCATCGAAACACGGATATAAATTGATCGATTTTATGTACATTTTTTTGAAGTTACATTTACGCTGAATTTTTGAAATAAATGATTATACGGGCTATAGAAATATATCTATTGAAAGTATTATAATTTGAAATTTCAGCAACAATTAAACGTTCTTTTAAAAAGTATCTTCCGTTCCAGCAAACTTTGGAGAAACTTACAAGACAAGAGTTTCGCCAGAAATCAATTTTGAATTAAGAAAGAAACGAGTTCGAAAATGTTGTAATCTGTTGTATCAAAATTTATTTACGGCATGTGTAAAAACGTATTCGCACGATGAAAAGCGACATGCCGTGAAAAATCTGCCAGTTTAGATTTGTTTAGATTTTTACGTGAGAGTTTGGTAAATACGGGAGAGACAGAGAGAGAAGAAAGAGAAATAATAATAACAGTCATAGTCCGGCAAAATTATTTATTTATCTTGATAGACTCGGACTGTGCCGTCAGGAAACGAATTCACAAACTCGAATCTCGATTGAAACTTCAATTTTTTATGAACTTTATCTAGCGTGCCGGGTCAACGAAAATACCAACTTTTTTTCTATCGCAACAATTGACATCTACTGTTTTTAGATTTATTGCTGATGGATATCATATCTATTAAGAACGCCAAATTAAGAATAGATATGTACAGTATGTGATGAAATTATTTATCAGAAGTAAAATTGTCGAAGATATTTATATTAAAATTATTTTTACAATATATTTTTTAATATATTTCCTATACACTTATATATTTTTATATTATTATTATTAACACTGTATAAGTGGGGCATTTTAAAAAGTACATACTAACTACATTTAACATAGCTTGTGTATACAAAAAATTTTGTTCAAAAACGAGAGAGAAATTTTATTTTATCGCAGTGGAACATTCGAAATTCGCAATGTAATTCTACAATTTTCCAAATCAATATTAAATTATGTTTTAGACAGGCTATACAATTCTGTTGTAACAAAAGGAATACGATATTTAGACGTGTGTCCCGACAATCTCGTCAAAAGAAGTAGATAACTTATATAAACTGACAGTAGTACAATTTTCAGTATATAACCAACCGCGGAAGCTTATAATAATAGGAAGACTTGCTATGCGCGTTGGTATAATTTCAAAGTTTAAAATGGTCCACGATGTAGAGGGGCTCTGTAGTGCTGTCGCGTCTTCGTAAAAGCGTCTGTCAGACATTCTGAGAGAAGCGCAATATTCTTTACCCGAGCGACACCGTCGGCCATGCGCGCGGAAAAACGCGAGGATAAGATGAGATATTCGTTAAAATTGCGCGGCTGCCACGGAATATGAATTGTGAGCAACAGGTCACTTATTTTCACCGATGACTTATTTGCATCCGCGCGGAACGTCAAAATTGGCTATATACGACGTCGTGCCCTTGCAATTACGCGCACAGAAAGTTATCAAATCAAATAAATTACTTATAAGCGATTACATATCGCGAGAACATGACTATATATTTTTCTTCAAAGAGTAACAAGCTATAATCATCAAAATATCACGATTTCTTCTATTTTGAAATACGCTTAAAATAATAAAATTATAATTAAAATATTATTAATAATACAAAGACATTTAATAATAATTACGAGTTCGCTGTACGATAACGTTAAAATAGTACTTGCAACAGATGTACGAGATCACTTATTATGAATTATATCATGAAATGCAATACAATGCATTATATTCGCTTTTTATATTTAAATTGCAGTTGACATCTAAATGTGACAATTAGTTTGTAGATTTAATAATAACGCGCCAGTATACAAGTACTTTCAAAGTTAATACTTTTAACTCGCTATCATTATGGACTTCCTGACGATTTAAGCATCTTAGTAGTAACACCAATCTCGTGTTCAAGACGTTAATGACGACGAATAGCGGAAGTTGCAAGTTATTTGTAGACTTAGCCGCGAGCCGTTGCACACTCGTGGCGCGTATTGCCCTTCTCCGATATAGATTTCTCCGGCATGAATCAAGCGGAATAACGTTGCCCTGATAATTTACTACAGACGTAAATCAGCCCACATTTGTAAGTAATAAACCATCGTTTATTCATGACGGCTTCTGCACGGGGTAAATTATTTAACGACCTCCGGCCTAGTCGCGCCATAGCGCATCTTTCTTCCTGGCATATTTATCCGCAAATTTATTTCCGCATGCGGATGAATTCTTCGAAATTGAGTCGGAAGTTAATTGTTGATCGAAAGCAACGATCGATATTGACGTTGTATTTCAACAGAATAATAATGTAAAGAAAAATATATTTCTTATTACGAGACAAAAGTTGTGTGCGTATGTGTTCATTCTTAATTGCTATTAATTAAAAATCTTTCTTTAATAATTGAAATCAAAATATTATAATGACGTAAAATAAAAAAATATATTCACCTGGCCGCCCTCGCCTACCATCATGTCGCTTGATGTAGCTTCAGGATCGAAATCAGGTGGCACGACAATCGACAGCATACCTGTCTGAAAGAAACAGATGATTTGTAATTAGTATTAATATAAACTCATTGTCAGAGAGAACGGTAGTGAATTCAAGTTTGCTTTATTAATAAAGTTATTTTATTTTAATTTTTTAATAGTAAATTAAACTATTACTTTATATTTCTTTTCTCTTTCTCTGTTACTTTATTCCTCTTATTATAAACTGTTATTATAAATTCATATTTAAATTATTTAACAGAAATACATAATAATGTATTATCATAGATTCGCGATCTCTCAAATAATGCAATAGAACTATTCAAATATAAGAACATCACTTTGCGCTATCTGTCTAGATTTTTCGTGATTAGGAAATTTTAATTAACGTATATATACGAGTTTCATGATGACTTGAGAGGGATAGATGTTTCTACAGAGCGCATAGGTAGAGCTATAATTATGTCTCTAACTTCAATCATACTCTGTAAAAATTTAATACGCGGTTCATTGCGAGAGAGAGGAGCATATTTTTTCCCATTATACGGCATTGCGCGTAAATGTGGCTCATCCGACGTACCGCGTTGATAACAACAAGCGAATCAGAGATGATGACATATAGCTTGCTTTATTTCCCTCGTCGCAGCATATGACGCTGTTATGGAAATAGTGTTTAAAATAACCGGATTCGCTACAAGAGTAGAAAAACGGATTTAAATAATAATGCGAAAATAATGAAAAAACAGGCGTGTTCCTGCGGAGTATACTTAATTTCTTGAGACTAATTGAATAATTGCACTTGGCAAAAGCGTGATAATATCATCGAATTAAATTCTGAATCTTGATTCTGAATGTAATAAAAGAACGATTCGCAGAAGCTTTTTGTTTGTTTTACATCAATTTTTTTTCGTTTTTTGTTGCATTAGTAGATTACGAAGTACGACAGTTGGATAACGCGGACAGAGTAAGGCAGTTGGATAACGCGAGCGTCTCTAAATCTCGAGTGTCTTGTTCCCCCGATATACTTTAACTTGATATATTTTATACGGGATAACGTATTGTGGCCGCGGATCCTGCTGACGTTGCCGGTGCGGATACCAATGTGTATTGTGGTTATTCGTTAATTAACGGTGCGTAGTAAAGTCAAACATCATAACCATCAGTTAGATCATTATTACCCGCCCGATATTCAACAATCGAGCACGTGAGTTAAACGTGAATCACGTGCGCAAAAATGATAGCTTCCAACTATAATCCATCCGTTCTGCTAATGATTTAACTAAATCTAAAAAGGTTATTTCTTAACAATTATAATGTTTTGATTTGTTCTTAATATAAAAGTATTATCTCAAGACGAGAAGAAAAATAATTAAATACTTATTATTTTTTATAATAATAAAATTTTGAGTAAAATTTTATGATTTATCGTACGGCAGAATTTGTCGATAATTTAATGAATTCGAAGAGTGAATCTTGAATTTAAGATGCTGAAATTTAAATTACGCTATATATTACGAGGATTTTACGGCTCATTGTTCAGGGACAATACAGAATAATACTCGATGCCATCAAAATGCTGGATGCTCGGCACATTTTCCTGCAAGGTGCAAAATAATCCTTCAGGACAAAGCGTTGCGCGCTAACTACGCATTCGACACTTATCAGCGCGCGCACGGAGACGTTATCACGTTATAATTCCCAAGTGAGAAGACAGTAGAACGCGGTGGAGAATCGAGGAAGAGGAGGAGGATCAACCTCGAACATCTCTGCTTCGGGGACTTTTGTCGGCGGTCGTACGTCAACCCACGAGACGTCAGGACGAGTGCAAGGACCTCTTCCCTGTTCCTCCTTCACTTCTCCATATCTTTCCCGCCGTGCTTACTCCTCCCCCTCGATTCTCCTCGTTTCACCTGCGATTTAAAGGAAACTCCACACACGTCGCTCGTTCTCTCTCTCTCTCTCTTTCTCTTTCTCTCTTGTCTTCGCAAGACGCGGAGGCACGAAGTGTACGCGCAATTACGAGGATGTAATCCACGCCACGACGAAACTTCAATCGTTATAACCGAGTTGTCTGGCAAGCCGCCACTGCAGAAACAGCCCCGACGAATGCAAACTGCGTACCTGCTACCTACCTACATATCTATCCTATCACAGCAACGGCGATGACGAGACACGTGCCTTAGTGCGTAAACTCATACGTGTCATCACTGAATTGTGAAGCTACTGTCCTTCGCACATGTACACATCGAAAATTAATTGTTACGCGCCTGCGAATGATTGCATTAGTCCTCGCCGCAGGTGAATGAGTGAGTCTTGAATCTCCCTTTTTAAAGTCAGCAATAATTAAATTATTTATTTATATTTTTTTAAATATTACTATAAATAATCTATAATTACTATAAATAATCTACTTGTCTGTAAAAACAATTTGCCGTAAGCTTGTTTTTTTTTCAAACTGCATTATTCTGACAAAAGTAAGAAACTTTTATTTTAAAGCAAAATAAGTCTTTATATTTACGATAATTGTAATTAATATATTCAGAATATATGGAAGTGCGTTATCAAAATGCGACAAAATATGAAGATAAATACAAGAGGAATTTAATAAATCAATATTGTAAACGTGATATCAATTATGGTTAATGTGCTAGATCATTTAATCTTACAAAGTATATCAGAGGGTAAACGCATTCGCGCAAACAGCACGCCCGTTGAGACCCATTATCGCTCGTTAGCCAGATTTGCACTACAGGATCACTATTAATCCGTAAGTATGCGCACCATTTCTCTCAATGTGATCGCGAATATACATATAACGGAAAAGTCGTACATTGTTTTCTAATGATTAATAGTATCATCGAACGAAATTAAAATAATTATATATATACTCTCTTGGTATTTGAAAAATGCCCTGTATATGCTAAAGTATTTTAAGAAAAAAAAATTATACATATATCGTGTGTATTTTATAAATTGAATTAATATCATTTGATACGAAATATTAAATTTGCATATCTCTATTGTTCTTATTATAATCTATAATATCTTGATTCATTATGAGTAAAATAAAAATTGGTGATGAATGAAGATTATATGAACGATCATAATTAATTGTGATATGATTATATGATGATATATTTAATTAGAAAATTATCACAATCGTAGTGAAAAATGAAACTTTAGTTAATCGTGATAATTTTTAATTAAAGCGGAGTTAATTTCAACTGGTATGGACAAGATTTGCGATTCATTTTGAATCATTAGGAAGGGACTGTATAAGACATCTACAAGGGATATATGGTAGTTTCGTGAGATTCGATTCAATTACTCGATTAAATCAGTGCATTTCGCGTCGCGTCAGAATTATGCAGATAACCCCGAAGAAGTGACGCGAAATTTCAAGAAAGACGACGCACAAGTCGACGCGCAAGCCGACGTCTCTACGTACGTACACGTAAATTTTATCAGACACGCAGTCGGAATTATAAACGACGCGCGAAGGACGCCGCCGTATTCGGCAACGAGCGAGGAAATATAGTTACGAGAGGCGAGACTCCGCATCCTGCGACGATCGTGTTTTAATTGCTGATATATACACATGTGAATGAGAAAGAAAAGGGGAAAAAACGACGAACTGTGATAGAGGGAGTCATATTTATGGAGGAAAAATTTGTACAGGAGGCAATTTATTTCTTTGATTGGCGGCTAAGTTTTACCGATTTAATAACAGAGCAAAAGAAAATATTGATATTATAAATTTTCGAGAAATCTTTTTTCCGTTAAATTTTATCAAATTTTAATATTATGATGTAATAATAATAAAAAAATATACAATAACCACATGTAAATGCGATAATATTAAAATATGATATGCACTGTATTTTCCCTCTGTCTCTCTCTCTCTTCGCATCGGTATAATTTTTCGCCTTTTATACAGTTACAAGATTCATATTTTGATTTGTTTCCAATCGGATTGTGGAATGCCCTGGCAAATCACTCTGCGATCCAACCGCTCGCGACAAATTTATTTCAGAAAGCAAAAATTAATGCAAAGCACACACATACATAAGACAAAATATATGACATGATGAATATAAGAACGCGAGGTAGAAGAAACAAGATATATTACTAATACACAATAAGATAATAATTGCAGAATTAAGCCAATCACCATATTTCGTATTCGTTACAGAATCTATATCTTTAAGCAAAACATTATATTTATATATTTTCTTCCTTGTAATTTTTATTTTTATGCTATATTTATTTTTTATATAAATTCTTTTGATCGATTGGCCACAGTATCGATTGCTTACAAAGTGTTTATTATTTAACTTTCCAAAAAAAAATGGTATAATATGGCGTCAGATGTAAATATACATAATTAGTTATGAAAAGATCTGATAACATATGTAATATCATATGATTATATAAAATTACATATGTTATTAGACCCTTCACAACTAATTATATACATTTACATCTAATCACTATACCATTTTTTCGTGTTGCTATTTCGTAAAGCGAAAGTGACAAGAAAACAACCGACGTTCAAATAGGACACTTGCCATCGTCCCGCAAAACCGTTGCGTGTTACCCTCCGTGCACTACTTAAGATTACAGCTTTTTTCTTAGCAAAAAGAGGGAAACTACGACTAGCAGAGAAGAACTCGCGCGAATTCAATCCGAAATGTCAGAAAATTAGATCTCAGCTTGACTTCCAGCGGCGTCCCACGCCGTATCACTTTGCTGGCAAGAGGCGGACGAGAGCCAACTGTTACTTTAAGGCAACCAGACAACCGCGGTCTAGACTCCGATCTCAAGAAAGACAAGGCAAATGTTATCTGGAGGTAGAAAGGACGAACGGAGGACCCTGGCGCGCTTAACTAAATTGGCTCGTTAAGTGTCTTTCGTATCGCGAGAAAAATTTCTCACGCTCGTAAAGCGACACTTTTATGCGCCTAATTGCCATCTAACTATTTAAGCGTCATGCATTCAAAAAGACGAGCGTGCGAATTTTGAGAACTTGTTTGCGATTGTTCCTAGTTACTCGATCCGAACGAATCTGCGCGCGCGAGCGTGCAAAAATATATAAAAACATATAATCTTCTTCAATCGATTATCTTTCGCCGACCCTCCTTTGCGATTTTTCACCGCTTAAAAGTCGATTTTACACGAGACGGCTGTTTCATCGCCTTTTCTTATCGGGAATTACTACGTCGCGTATAATATTCGTTAAACGACTTAATATTCCGATCCTTTTGTGATAAGATTATATACACGCAGCTGTATATATATTATAACACGCGAAGAGCATGGAGGATTTAAGCGGGGCGCTATTCATAAACGGGTATCGGCGTTCTCGAACTGGCGAAGACGGCTCGTTAAGTTCCCAGGTTCGTTAAGTATGCCGCGGGTCTACCAGCCGCGCGTACGCGGAGGGCAAAATGCTTTCGATACTTGTACAGATTGTTATGTCGGCAGCAAAGCTAATACTCTCGCGGCAGAGCTCGGTGGTTAATACCAGTGCTGTTTGTGCTATCGCGCGTCACCGACGACGATTAGGCGACGGAAAGTATGGAGATGTGCAAACGAGGTTGCAGCGACTGTTGCTGTCTCTAATCGAGCGCTTTAGGAATCTCTGTCTTTCTCTCTCTCTCTCTCTCTCGCTTCACTATTATTCTCTCGCTTTCTCGTTTACATCGCCCAAAGGTTTCACCGGGAATGTAATGAATACGATAATACAAATACGATGTTTATTATAAATATGAATAAACTAATAATGTTATTAAACAAAGATTATATTTATTGTTAATTATTATATTATACCCATGTTTGTGATAGCTCACGTGGTTTGTAAAATTTTTAATTCATTGATATATTTCTGTATTCTCTAATCAATATTTCTGTAATAAATTCCATCTCAGATTTCTGAATTTTTTTTTCTTGAGAATATCTTGCAATATATCACGATTTGGAAGCAAAAATATTTAGTAAAAATGAGACATTTCATATTGCGGATAAGGACTTAATAAGGATTTCTGAAAGGTCTTCCGAGTTTCTAATGCGAATACGATTGCACGTATTACACCCGTGGGATTATGTTAATGATAGTTAGCAAACTGAGACCGGGATGATTAATTGCGTGAATCAAGTGAGACGTGGTCCGACTGTAACTGAGTAACTATCGATTAACTCATGCGCATCTTGGCACTTTGTCGATGCGGGCATTATTGGCAGCGAATCGCTCGATTAATTGTTTTGTACGGCAACTTATCGCAACCGATTTCCGCGATGCAATGTAAAGCGTATCATTCGACAAATATATCTGCTTCTATTTCACTATCTTACAATTAGCTATAAACATATATCAAATTAGATGTTAAAAAGATGTGGAGACATTATTGTATTTAAATTTAAGTTAAAAAAACAATCGATTTAAAATGTAAGTATTCGTATAAATGAAAGTATAAGAAGATTTTTGATATGTATGTATATCTTTAATCAAAATTTTGACACATTATAATTTTTATTCGCTAACCTTATCGGCAGATCATTAATAACATGCAGAGCATCTTTTCTTGTACAAGTTATTCCGAAAAATACACGGGAAGTGTTAAAGATACGAATCACATTCCGTAACTCTTTTATAAGTCTCTATCGAAAAACCATCGTCTTTCGTGAAGCTCAGGCTGGAGCGCAAGAAGCCCTATTCCTTTTAAAGCCGATTGTCGCGGAATAGCGTACAATATTTACGCACGAGAACACATTATTATCGTTTCTTACGACGTATTTTATTGATAATATATGTAGTAACATTATGATAGTATATTATAAGTCACTTTGAATTCTACGACTTCTTTATCAAATAAAAGTTGATCGATTTGTATCAAACTTATATCGAATATATGACAAAGTTATGTCGATGAAAGAATATATATTTTTTATGTATATAATATTAGGAAATAAAAGAATGAGAGAGAGATAGAGAAAAAATGAATGTGATACAAAAAATTTAAACATTTTTTATTACATAAAGATTTTTGTCATCCGCGTGATCTCGTTTGTATTATAGTTAACATCCACTAGTTCGAAATGTCTGGAGAATGAAAATAAGAATTAAAAGCAAAAATACATAAAATATATTTTCGACATCTCATAATATTGATCCATTCTATTTTACCGAAATAAAATTAAAAAATGAATTTGCTTTATAATTCAAATTAAATAAAATTAATATAATACAATTTATAATTATAATACAATCGTTTTTCAGTTCATGTGTAATATAGATTATATTCATTATGTGCAACGTGAAATGTTTGTAAGAATTTTATGTAATATACATATAATGCACATATAATCATTACATAAAATATGCAATAAAATGGAGTGAGAGATATAATATGAGAGAGAAATTTGTACGCCTCATCGGAATTGTATGACCTTTTGACCACTGACGAACGTGTCTGCATGCTTTATCGACCTAAATACAGTCGTCGATAGGGTCGTCCTAATTAGTTATTTCATCGAGTTTGTCGGTTTGCCACGGCTAATTTCAAACAAGAGCTATATGTTTCCGAGTTTAGTACATCGAGGCGAAGTATCGAGATCAGTAATAACAGAAAATATAGATATGCATTAAAAGGTATCGAAACCCGTTATTCTATTAATCTTATTTATCACAATTAGAGAGAACGCGCTCTACAATATTTTAAGATTTTATAGAAAAATAAATATATTTTATATAATCAATTTATTTATTACGATTTAAATTTGATATACATATTTTAAAAGAATTATGCCGGTAGGTAAGTGTAATGAATCTGTCATTTCTTTTAAAAACTTTTAAAGAAATTAGCGGTATCATTTTGGTTCGATAAGCATAGTAGAAGCATAGTAGAAGCGTAATTAACGAAAATATGCTTAAAGCGGCAAATACATCACCGTTTCCACGCCTAGGTAAATTCCGCGCGTTTCTAAAATAGTAGCAAACTGCTATTAGAAGCTCTCTCTCCCTCTCTCTCTCTCTCTCTCTCTCTCTCTCTTTTGGGAACTTCCTAACGATACTTCCGTTACCGCAGTATCGTCGCGAAAGATCCTTCGCGAAACTTGCGCCTCGTTAGATTTACCCGCTGGCCAATATTAACGGCGATGAGAGTAAAGGTGTGGTATGTCCGAAACGGGCATTGCTCCCGAGATTCGAATGAACGGCGCAAACTTTATAATTGAAGCACGGAAAAACTTGTGACGGAACCGGCTGGTTCACGCAGTTCCTCGGCAGCCCATAAATCGTAAATAAATTGGTACAGTATTCGTCGGATAATTTTAACAGAATACACATTTAATTATGTATCTGTATAAAATTAAAATATATAAATAATTTTAATAAAAATCGGCTCTAGATTAATCGGAATACTATCGTATGAGATGGCGAATCGGCAGCCATCACCTCGTATATATCGACCCATATCGTTTGTAGGAGCTTAGTGAGGTACATACCTGACTCTTCATGGGATCCGTATTGATCTGACACATGTAAAGACCGCCGTCCTCTTTCTGAACGCCCTTGATGTGAAGGTTCCACATACTGTGATCGCTATGGGACACGGATACCCTCTGGTTGTGCGTGATCACGTGATCGTGTATTGCCTGAATCGCCTTCGTGTCCGCCTTTACCCAACCGACCTGGAACATCAATCGCCGGATCAGGCCGTTAATAGGGGTGACGGAGAACGAGAGAGATAGATAGATAGATGGATAAATAGATGGAGAGAAATATAGAGAGACGTGTCGCTGACGGAAATCGCGATGACGGCGTCGCGGATTTCGTCGAAGACGCCGCAATTTCCTCACAGGCATCCGACTGCGGAATACAAACAGATGTGAGGGATGCCTATCCTGAGGTGTGCAAGCATGCAGACGTATATACATACATACATACATGCACACACACACACACACACATATGGATTGACACGCGCGATTCCCCTTGGCCAAACTTTCAGCGATATTTGCATTTTCCTTAGAATATTCCAAATCCCGAAGTGAGGATCTCTCGCGATTTCACGCGAGCGAGCAAGCGACGCACGTACGTAGACGCACACATAGCCATGGTTACACCATGTACGCGCCCATTTCCGAACTAGTAATAGAAAACCGGATACCATCATGCCACGACTTCTTCTCACCCCTCCTCTTCTCTCTCTTTCTTTCTCATTATTCTCTATGTGTATTCTCGCGATAGCGGCTACACAAACATTCTACCGACGAAGAGAGTATCGATGGTCTTCGTGTCTCTGGAGTAAAAAAGATCCAATGATCTCCGAGTCTTCGAGATGATAGAAGCAACATCTTCATAATCTTCTCGTTTTTTGAATATGAAAATATATATCTATATATTATATATTCTTCCGTAAAGAAACTGATCTCAATTTCATTTGTATAAAAAAGAAATAACAGTGAAGTTGACGCTTCTTCCTTACAAGAGATGTCGGCTTTAATCATGACTATCAAAGCTCTTATTCAATAGATATTGCAATTGCTCAACATAGAATCGTTTAAAAAAACATCGGTAAAGTGAATCGCTTTTAAGTCAGTCACTCTTTCGATTTGACTTTCAAATTTCCTCTGGAAGTGGACTATAAATGGAAAGACCATCTTTTGACTGTGTCTGGTAACGACGGATCTCTAGCACATCGCAGTTGTGTACTTCTCATAAATTTAATTATTATGATTCTCCGCTTGGAATTGCTTTAATTTGACCGACGCGAGGCGTTGACATTTATTTGCATATAATCGATGTTCTCGTTGTGTACCGCGCGAATAAATTAACGGTATAATAATAATTATACAATCTGTGACATGCAATGAAGATGAAAACAGAGAGAGGGAGAGAGAGATAGAAGTAGAATATTAATCGAAAACACAGAATAGTTCGTACATTATTCAAATATTTATATTTTGCTTTTACTTCATTGAGTTGCCGATAGAGATTCGATGTGAAACGTAATTGAGTCTTCTATAATAGTCTAACCTATCTATCTAGTCCAATCTATAATACCAGTTTCTATAGTTTCTATAGTTACAACTTCGTAAAATGTCAGATATGGGTAGCGAGTCTCAACAGATTTCAATACGTCTGATAGGCTACGAGCAGATACTATGACAGTTCGAAGCGAATGATTATACCATAACAGTATTACCGGTTACTGCTTTGATTATACTACCCGAGAAAAAAATGGTATAATATGATCGGATGTAATTATACATAGTTAGTTATGAAAAGATCTGATAACATATGTAATTTTATATGATCATATAAAATTACACATACATATATTATTATATAAAATCATGTACTTATATTATCAAATCTTTTCATAACTAATTATGTATATTTACATCGAACCGTATTATACTATTTTTTCTCAGATATTTTCCGCCGTAGCTCAATAAAATTTGTGCAAACAAATGCGCAAAGAAAAACGATGATGCGTGGAAAAGATAATTTCACGATGTGGCTAAAAAGTGTTATTAAATTCCGTTGTCGCGTAAATGTGCGAATTTTGCGACTGGTAATGACGAATGATACAAGTCAAGTTGTTCTGCCATAAAGTGTGCGGAGGCGAGATCGATAATACGATACGTAATACGAGATTAGTTTTATAGAAAGATTTCGTTAATACGTTTTGGAAAAAACGTCGGGTCGTTCATAGCTTTTTACATCGCGCGTGTATCGATAAAAGTTCTCGGTTTGAAACTAGAAGTCGGGCAAAGTGAGCGGAAAAATACCTCTCGAGTTCTTTAAGTGAGAATTTTACAGATTTCAAGACCGACTTTTGCGCCCGTGAAAATCGTACAGATAGATTATTCAACGCGTTAAATGTATTTTCCAGGTACGTGTCTTGTCGAGTGTACTTTTCTCATTACAGATCTGTTTCTTTTCGTTTAACTGTAGGAGATATAAACTAATTTCCGGATTATAGAGATTTATATATCAATTATTTTTTATATAATGACGAATATCAACAAATAATATGTAATTTATAATATATATAATAATCTTTTAATGATATGTAGCTATGTTACTTTTTTTTTTTTTTACTTTGCATTACTTTTGTAAAATTTTTGTGATAGTTATCGCGAACGATGCCAGTGTACATGGCGAAAGTTTATCTTAGTAGGAGATATGATTTTTTAAAGATGCATCCTTTTCAGAAGTTAAGTGAAACCCCAAGAAGTTAAGCGAGCGTTACAACATTACAGGCACACCGTGGCTTTTCATGTAACTTACCCTGTAACCTCCTAGATGTTTCACCAGACACGTGAAAGTAGCGTCCCTCCCGAGTGGCACGGTTAGATTGGTGATAGGACCGGAGAATTCGGGTTGAAAAGCGCCTCCTGAAACGATAAAATACGTACGACGTTCGTGAAAAATACATACACCATTTGCATACCGCACCACCGGCAATTTTTCGACAGTGACGTCAATTCACCGTCGTGCAGAATGCGCTTTATGGAAAGCGAATAAACGTCAGAAGGCGGAACGTACGCGACTTGGCAAAACGTGGAGATGCGTCTCGCAAATTAAATGCATAGACGTGTGACGTCGAATTAGCGAGAATCGTTGCAGTATATGTAGCACTTAAGCGAACATCTATGTGCGTAAGTAACATTAATCGATGCTGAATGACGTTTTCTTGATGTCTCTACTTTTATGTGTGTGTGCTTCGATAATTATATTTACAAATTTACAAAAGCTTTAAGAATAAATATTTCTGCTTCATTTTTCAAGACAAATAATAATCCTTCAATAATCATTACCAAAAAAGTTGGATAGCATTTTTAATATGCAAATCATTAAAGTAAAAATGCTTTTTTGCAATACGTTTTGTCTTGTCTAAAAAAAAATTTAAATTTTATATGATTTTTCAAAATAATCACGTTATCACACAATGTATGAATTAAGATATAAAACAAAAATAATTCCAATAAATATGGTTTATTCTAGATTAAATTAGTTTGTGAGAGTATAATTTATATTGTGGAAAAATATATACCATTCTCTATTATCTCTCTAACATAAAATAATACGTGCAGCGCACGTTAATTACTACAAATATGGCATACATGATTACAGCGATTAACGCACCATATACATATGTATATAAAATATATTTCTCTTTGCTTTTTATATTTTTTATATATTTTCGGATTGTTCGGTAGGTGCACATAAATAATATACTAATATAGATTATATATATGACAATGAGATAGCGTTCCATACGATAATGGATGTGACGCGAAAAAATATATATGATGCGTAACGTATAAATTGCTTCATTGATAAAATAAAGATGGAGAATGCGAAATGCGTATGAACGTTCTCGATTCTATCATTCTTTTTATTCGTCAACTTCTGCGTTTCAGTTCCTCGCGGCGCGTTTTTCCGCCTGGAATAATTTATTATCGAACATATGAACGTGTCGCTTAAACCGCGAGTGTAACGTCAGATGATTTTTACGACCCGTTAGCGAACCAAACACCGTTCGACGACTCGCGTCGGACGAATTGAATTAATCTTGTGATCGGCGGAGCTTAATATCGTGCGCGTCGAGATGATTATCCGGTAGTTTACAGAATAATGACGTAGACGTTGATTGAATCGATCACTTTGAAGGAAAGCGAGTCAGCGCGATGCGGAGACGCTCTCGAATGCATTTTTCTGTGCAAATAGACCCCCTTGAGCAAAATAAGAACTGACTTTACAAAGCTATTGTTTTTACATCTCGCGATATTCAGATAACAAGCTGTTTTGATCCTTGAATTCGTGTGTCTAGAAACATCATGGAAAATGTGTATCACGTTTGATGGTTTGCAATAAAGCCAACTAAATGCGTGCGTGCGTGTGATATTTTCGTATAACTTTTTGCTAAAAATAGCCGGCAGCGCGACGTACGGCGGGTAAACAGGACAATGATACTTTTGCAGAAATTTCTGTCCCAGCTGCTGCATAAGCTACTCGATTTAGAGGTTTTTATATTCTGCAATATGCGAGGTTTGCAGGTGTAGCTTGATATCATGAAAATGCAACAAAATTTACCTGCTAATTGAATAAAAGAAATATTCTGTGCACACGTGTATATAACAGGCATTTATTTATTACATTCATTAAAAAATTAAAAAAAAATTTTTACCGATTTTACTTAATTATTTCTAGTTTTAAAGAATATAAATGTTTTTTATTTTTCATTGTCAGAGAATAATTACAACAAGTATCATTTACAACTTTATTGTCAAGAAGAAACGTGGCAAATTATTAATCTGCGGTAAAAAAAAAATGCAATATTAAATTACGGTAATCAACTTAGAGTCCGTATTTAGTTGTTATAACGAATTTTTTCATTTTAAACGAATAAAAGGTCGTACATAATTGCTTACTGAATTTAGATAAAAGTGATATTTTAAAGCTAAATTTTTCAAAAATTAGATTGTTTTTGAAATTGTTTTCAAAATTTATTTACGTGGATAGTGAATTATATGAACTTAATTAGAGTACAACAAATGTATGAATTGAAACAATTTCGTTTATATATATAATTCGAGTTATTAATTTTCAATTATCTCATTTCTCGTTACACCGTGCGCAACGATATGTTTGAATGAAATTTGTAATTGTGATAAAAGATCTTTAATTGTATTGGATATTTAAAATCCATTAAAAAGTGATATAATATCAAAAATGACTATGTGAAATCTGCTATAAAATAATTTTGATTAACATTTATTTGAAGAATAAATTATGACTTTTATGTAATGTTTTATTATTTTTTGGCATAAATTATATAAGTTTACCTAAAACCCATTAGCTTTTATTATAAATCTTTCTCTCTATGTCTGTTAAATAATTGATATTTATTATAACAAAGACTATACATAATTATATATACAAATTGAATTATTTTAGTTTCTATTTTTACACAAGAAACAATTTTCAAAGCTGTATTAATTAATTTTGTATCACCGTTTGATATAAATGTGTCATTATGTTATTTATAATCAAATTAAAATGATAAGCAATTATGAGCGAATTATAAAACAGAGTAGCAACATTATATTCAAGGACAGATAAAAGAGAATTCTAGAGGTAGCAAAATTTTGCTGGAAGAATGCAACAAGGTATGGCGATGAAGGAAATATGTAATGGTAAAGAAGCTAGCAATAAGTCTAAGAAGAAGAAACAAGATCTATTTATCTTATAATATAAATAATAGAATAAAAAATTAATATAAATGAAAGCGACAATTATCGTGAATAGCCTAACATTCTGCTGCCAGCGGGTTGATAGTAGAGAGCACTATGTTAAAAGTTAAAATATAACTCCGGGATATATATAAACCGGGCCCCAATCATTTGTTACGTGAAAATAATGTCCGCAATAAAGGCACTATGTATAGCGCAATGTATACAGTTTTAATTATTTCGTGAAAAGAAGTTTTCTTGAAAGACTGTGTAATGTATAATATTATATTTATAGATTTCATTACGAATTTATAATTGTTTTACTTTTGCCGGGTGTATCGTACCATAAGATTATATAATTGAAAGGCTAAGAAAATGATAAAGTTAATGTATGTCTACAAATCGGGGAATAGAAATTTTAGGACAAAAAAATGCGAAGAAAAAATTCAAAAATATTTAAAAAATTAAGCTTTAGATATTATATCTTTATTTCTCAAACGGCGATATTTTCTTGAGCTGATTCCAAGTAGTCAGCGTAGGAAAATTGACAATAATCCATCCACATTTTATCAATATTAAAAAGTTCTACTGGAATAAATTACTTACGCGCGTTGTACTCGTCAACGTTGCAACAGCAAGTAGATACACGAGAGGTTTTTCGTCCGGAAACTTTGTTGAAAATTGCGAATGGCTTATTATCGAACTTCCGTCGAGGAAATAAGTTGTTATGGATATTAAATATGGTAAAATTTTTCGCCGTGCCGTAATATAATCGAATTAGTAGCTTTCGTTGCTCGACATACAATCCTTGCCTCATAACAACAGTTTACTCGTAAACTCTTTATCGTTACTTCGAGGTAATTCGAGCAATTTTCGCACCGAGTCTTTTCATTATCCGAGATTCGCTTTTCGCCTTAACACCATTATGATGACAGCTCTCACTTTGTAAAATCGCGTGCTTTTATTCACTTTTCCATTCACATTCTCGTAAATCAATTCTTTATTTTTCGATATTAATAGTGACACTTTATTTCGTTAAAATTAAATTTGCGCAGGAAAAAGATAAAATGTGTTTCTTTCGCATAAATATTTCAATATGCTAATGTTTGCGTTAAAAAACACTCTCCAAATAAATAAAATAACAGCGAACTCATATGCAATGTTTACTATAAAATGCGAGATACATGTTGACGGGACATTGGAAAATAAACAACTGATGGCATAGAAGGAAAGATAAACTATCGATTACCACGATGATTTGAGCAATTTATTTCATAAATGGCATCGCACACCGCGCAATTATTTACTCCCTATTGGTCAAGCATTATTTGACAATAATTTTGCACATCATTTCATGCATTCGCACATCGAATAATGCAAAAGCGCATTTAATAAAATTCAAGCAGCACTAATAATCACTTAGAAGAGAATATTTATTCATCACTGATTATTAATGATTTAACAGTTAATGCTTATCAAATATAATATTTTGATCAAAACTATTTCTAATTTTTTTTAATATATTATATATAAAGCATTTTTCTTATCATTTTTATTTGATTTTATTAATAATCATAAAAAATTTATTATTTTTTTGTTATGAAATACCGATATGATAAGATTATATATGGAATATTGATCGAAGAGACTTTTGAATCGGATAAAATATATAGATAGATTATCACAGTTTAATCAATAAAACTTATAACACAAATTTTACTTTATAAGACATTTATATAACTAATTGTTAAGCAAAATCTTATAATCTCTCTCTTTCTCTCTTTTTTAAAATTGTATCACAATATACATATAATAAATATATCCAAATATATAGATCTATCATATATTTCCCCGGGATTATCCACGTGCCGGAAATTCATTGCAAATAAACTTCATACAATTTACTCGATCCACGTGTATTGCTTGTGTAATCGAGTATCCGTCGACTAAACTATCGCTGCAATGTATCAACTGAGGTAATATTAACTACATGTTTAACTCATCGCGCTAGAATGCACTTCGTGCACGCTCAGTCAGTGTATTAATAATGACGATCGCATTTCATATATGTCATATCGATGACAGTCAAAGTCACAATACTAAAAATAATTTAAATATCTATTATTTTTTCTGCCTTTTGAAGGTACATGAAAAGCGAACCATGCAGCGTACGTTATTTAATTGTTAAACAAATTATTGTGCGAAAGTCAAACCGCTTAAAATATATATAACATTAAAAATAAACATTGTAGAGATAATTCAAGCAACACGATGAAAATACATGAGCCTTTGGGCACTGTGGTTGGTGCATGTATTCGAAAGAACTTATAGTACACTTTTCGTAGTACAGTTTTCACTTTCTGTAAAACAGGATTTCCGCACTAAGTACTAGTTTTGACTTTCACTCGGACTCCCCAGCCAAAGGCAGGCAGCCAACTACTTTTTTTCGTTGCTCTTGCTGTTTCAATGCTCAAAGACTTGTATGGTCACCATTGCTTGGATTTGTTCTGAGATAACGAACCGAAAATTATTCCCCGCGTATTTTTTTTTTTATTTTTATCAAAAAAGGATAATGTAGTAGAATTTCTCAAGGAATTATTCCAACATATTAAGACATATTTTATTATATCTTTTACGAATCGAATGGGGGGACGTAACTTTGCATATAGGTGAGAAGTCGTATCCCTTCTGGCGCCGTTTCCGCTCCTGCAAACGCACTTTCTTCCTTTGCTAGTGGCCAAAGTAAACGGCCAAACAAGCAAACAGACACTCTACAAATCTCGTCACCCAACAGCCACCGCCCGCACGTAACTCTGCCCGGCTAAAGAAATATTCCCAAAGTCGCGACTCTCGACGGAAAGTCGTTCCGAGTTTCAGCATTTCATTTTTCTCGTTTTGTATCCCTTAACTTTCTCCCTCTCTCTCTCCCTTTCTCTTTTTTTGACTCCGTTTTATTCAATTTTTTCTTTTTCTCTGTTCTACTATTCATGTTACTGCGCGCAATTTAACATGTACCAGTCTTTAATTATTCTTCTCTACTTTGATTTTACTATCAGCTATTTTAGAAAATCGATTGTTATTTTCAGAAAAAATCTAATTAATAGCTTAATAAAAAATATAGTTAATTTTGCTTATTGTCGTTTAATTGCACTCTTTTGAGTTTTAATCTCATAACTGTGTTATATAAACTACACTTTATTTTTAAGACTATTACATTCTTTTTCTATTTGCTTATTGGATCTCTTTTTATTCTGTCGTACTTTTTTTTCTTTCGGTTTCAGATTTCTTTTTTTTTATCGTTTTCTCTCAGTCTTAGTTTTACGATTGCTTCGCAAAAGCTGTTTTGCCTATTTTAACGAGACATTTGGAACAAATTTTGTCACAATTTGACGACAATGCTGATAATGTAAAACATAAGCAGAAGAGCATGATTTTATACCGACGGTGTTAAATTCATCGAGTTGCATAAATGCGAGAATGAGAAATGAGATGATGCATCGACGCGTGTTTGCGAAGTCCGATCATTTGTTGCTCTCCGAAATCGTTGCAGTGGGAATAATTTCTAATCGAATATTGATTTATGAAATATTCCATTAAAACATATCGCGAACCTTGCATTTTTAGATTTCGTATGAAAAATTAATTCTGTTATATCTTCATTTAAATTTAAAATTAAGTGCATTATTTCAATGAGATTCTTTGGAGCGAATTTTTATTGCAAAGAAAGCGAAGAGAGACGTCGAAAATTTGATTGGAGACATGCTGGATTTAATAAAAATAGCATATCTTAGATTAAATGAGACATTTCTAAATAAAGCCAAGAATTTGCATCGCGGTATCGCTTCATCGATGATGTCGTTCGTCTTGAGAAAAATCCTACGAAAGAAGGTCTCGTTTAATTTAACTCAATTTATTCTTCCGTTTGCCCGCCTCTGAATGGCCACCCTTTTTCCATTCACCGTTCGTTAAGCGACCGATAAGCGGAAGTTCCCGATTGGCCGGATGCTACCTTTCTATGGTCCTACACGTCTTGCTCCTTATTTATCCCTTTCAGCATTACCGCTCAATATTCAATGCACATTGAAATATTTGCTGGCGGGCCTTTCGCGTCTAGTTCATAATTATTGCTTCGTGGATATTTATTTGCACACAACTATTATCCGCAATCTAGAAGCTGCACAAAGCTCCTCAAAGTTTATTTTAGATTCATTTGGGAAAAATTATTCGAGACTATCGCGATTCAACAGGATATTATGTCGTGTTATATGAAAAATATTTATTTCACGCGTAACATATTGAAAACATATAAAGAAATCATTAAATTATGTATTTTAAAATATTTTAATTTCTGATAAAAAAAAACTGTCATTTTGAATAACTAATGAGCAGAACATTTCAATATATATTAAGAGTTATTTAGGTATGATATATCGCGTGCTTTCGATTTTTTACGAATATGGAAAATGGTATATTCTATTTTTTAATGAGGTATTTTAAAAGCCAAACTTGAAAAATTTGTTACTAAGAAAAGATAAACTCAAATCGGAGAAAATCTGCTATAATTCTAAAATATTTATATTTATAGTTGTTCTACAATTTCAATATATATATCAAATGCCAAAAATAATATATAAGGATATTCGTTAAAGAATATGAATTTTTAGTCGGATGGATTTGAAAAGTGTTCAACGTAATCGATTAACGAAAATTCTTGTGACAATTCGTTGAAATTGCAATGCAAATTGGGCAATTCACGATAGAATGGAAGAATGGCGGAGTTGTTAAAGGAATGCGTATCGGGTACAGGTGTCATAGTGCTTGCCTGTTTGCGAGAAATAAATTCGCAGAATGTCCAGAATATCCAGGCACGCTAGAGTTTTCTTCTAGAAAATCTTATTTACTCGCTGAGAGAATGCGAGCAGAGAGATCGGCTGAAATTGAGTGACGTCAGTAATCAAATGCCATTCATCTGTTATGAAGACGTTTCGCCTGGGTGGAAATTATCATGCGAATGCGCGACTGGAGGAAGCGATAAAACCTTGATAGTTTGCAAAATTTTCTTGTCTACGTCAGACTATATAATATCTTTCTTCGCAGTCTACCCACTTTCCTTCTCTCCTCTTTCTGTCGTCGTTTGCCTGTCCTAAGCGATATCTGTAGTCTTTATTAAAATCGTAATCTTTTATTTATTTCTCACGGACATTCGCTTATATGGTTGAACATTCCATTTAGCTCTGTATTACATGTTCATTCATCATTTAAGTTTCTTCAAGATGAAAAATAAATTATGTTTGACTTTATTTTCCTCGTGTTTCTTTTTTTTCTTCCATTATTATAATGCGTTAAAATATTTTTTTCTTCAATTATTAATAATTAAATTATTAACGTTTGTGTGACAATATATGTGTATAAATATGTTTGCGTAATAATTAATTAATGCGTATAATAATATGAAAGAATTAATACAATAGATGATTAATATGATACCTGAAATAATTCCTCGATATTTATCGGTTTATTAATTAGCCGCTATTATCGATATTCGAACATAAAATCCTACTCTGATGCATTTTCATTTATAATCGTTTTATTTTTGTTCCTGAAATAAATTTCACTTGAAATGAACTGAAAATCTATTTGCATTGTTGGAGTTTAATCCGCAGAAACTTTAAACTTTCAGTATTAAATATTGTCGCGTAATTAGTTCTCTTATAAAATATATTCTAGAGAGAAAGAGCATTTAGCTTCCTATCTCATATCTATTTATTTGGATATATTATATTACGCGTGATATTCCACTTTATTTTTTTATATAAAAATATATACGATTCTTTTTTCTATTTTTACGCGAATAAATAAATATAGTGGAATGAGCAATAATATGCGTGTTTTAACGATACTCTACGGATTGTTCATTATACCCGGAACACGCGTTGGTATTCAGAAAAAGTAATATCTCATCGTAGTGGAAGAGGTCGCAAGGCCAATATCGCCGTATGTCGCACCGTGCAAGTGTGCGTTTCAAAAGCGGATTAGTCCTGGTATTGTATTTACAGGTGGTCGTGTACACAGCGAGCGGCTTAGTTGCAAAATTGCCCGTACACAGTGCGATATATATCTCACGGCTCTCATATTCATCGGGTTCGGCGGCCCTCGAAATCTGCGAACGCGTGATGCGATAGGCATCTACTCTCGTCGGGATTCTAATATCACAGGATCAGCTTGGAAAAGAGGGGAAAGGGTGGTAGGGAGGGGGAAGAGACGAAATCCGTTAAGGGATTTCGTTAGATTAATCTTGTTTTTCCGGAATCGCTTTTCGATCCGTTCTGGCGAGTTTTGGGGGATAGCCGTGTAGTTAATACGAATTGGTGGAAATTTCTTTTTTTTTAATTTTTGTTTGCTCCCGTACTCGTTCAAGTTTCAATGAAATGACAAAAATGATACTTACCAAAGATATCGTTCGGATAAATCAGGAGCGCCAATAATACCATCAGAAGTGCTTTTTGCCGATCCACCATTTTGCCACAATCATGGACCCAGCTGAAACATGAAATAATTATTAGTATAAATAATTATTATAATAGTAATCTTTAAATTATATTTTTTTTAAATTTTATTTTCACACAACCATCACGATTCATGTATTTTAACTTGTCGTATGCCTATTATACTTTCTTTCTAAATTATAATCTTTTCGCACGTGCATCGTGCATTTTTACAAAAATTGTAATTTATGCAAAAATTATTATCTTTAATAGGAGAGATAACCTAATTGTGTCACATGATTAATTAATAAGATATTGAAAACATAATGCGTAAGCAAAAATATTATTTAATGAGAATCGCGATAATTGAACACATCATGTCAGTTAATTATAGGTACAATTTTCGCATATCCTTTTGATGGTTCGTATAAATTATTAATGAATGCGTGTGTGTAATTAAACGAACCTATTATATCCTCGTATTCGCTGAAAATCAAATAAACGCAATTACAAAGAAAGATCAAAAGTTATTGAATAATGAACATGGTTACATTTACGAAATAATGGAATATCATTTCTTTCTGTTTTTCTCTATCGTTGATCAATTTTACTTAAATTACGTATTACGAATGACGAATAACAGCTTGATTACCGATAATAAATAATCGACAGGTTTTGAACATTAATCGAATCGCGCGTGTTAGCAATTTTTTACGTTGTTGATTCGAACGTTCGCGCGCGCGGCTGTGAAATAAAAATAAAAATAATAAAATAGACACGAAACGTAGGAGAATATATTACACTGGGAACATTAAAGTCGTGTCAGCGTCTGTGACGGTATTCCACAGGGATATTCCTTATCCTTTCATCTAGACTTTGCGTACAGATCAAAACGCACGTCCGCCATACTTCCGGTTATATTGAAGTAATGGGGACTTATTCGTTTCCGCGATATTACATCAAGGATCAAGAAAGAAATAAAGAAAGAGAAACTAAGAACCGCACAGAAGAACGTGCAGGAACCATACGCTGCAAATATGCGCAAGAAGCAAAATAATCTTTGATATAATCCAATTTTCTTATTCAACGAGAGAGAAAGAGAGAGAGAGAGAGAGAGAGATCGTGACAGAAATTTATATTTAAAAATTATATCTATAAATCCTTCTCCTGATTTCTAAAAATCCTTATCAGAAAAGCATTCCAAACGTTTTAAGAAGCTTTTATAATCATCTAACTCGAGTAATAAAATTAATCGATTGATATAGCTTCGCGTGCAATGAGATTGTGCAATAAGGGACGCGACTTGAATTAAATCGCATTGAAGTAAAAATTGCAAATTTAAATATGTGCATAGGAAAATTTAACGTGGCAATAACATCGCCTTTGACGATCAACGCTGGCGCGTTGCGAGCGTTAAACGCCAATCAGGCAAGTTTCTCTTATGCAGCGGCACACTGATAACTCCATTACGAAGCGCAATGCAGCTAGCAGACTTGTTAGACACTTCGAATCATAATATTAAACTGATGTGACACTCATATCGATCTTCTTGCCCTTACATTTGCAATAACGACGATGACGCTCATCCATTTACTTTCATTTTCAGGACCGAACAAATTATGTAACTAAATTAAGCATGATTAATATTCACGTTGCAACGCATATACAAAATAATGTTATGTATTATTTAAACAATTTTGATATAATCATTGCTTATGCAAAATTACAGCGCGATTTCTATATGTATGGTAATACACTTATTATTTTACCTTCGAATAATCATATTCGAAAATTGTGCAGTTGGATCTGTTCTTTTCTAATTTAAGCAGATTATATGTTCCCAATTGCAAATTTGATATAAATAATATATTAAAATTTATAATGTTAAATTTTACCTTTTTCTATTTCTTTAAATACAAGCACGTAATATGTAGGCGCTTGATCGCCTTAAAGGGCAGCAAAGATCCTAACGTAAAATCGAGTATCCACGCTGTTGCGCTCGAAAGCGGAGTCGTCGAGTGAAAGTTTGTCCGTGACAACTCTGCGACGGAAAACGGCGAAAGTTAGATACATTTATCGCCCCCCACCGCATCGTCTCGCACACGCAGCAAAGTATATCCATCATGTGGGCGCGTGCCCGCGCGACAGGAAGCGGAATCAAGTCGAGACCAGGGCAAGCTTTTCCGCTTGACTGCAATGAGCAATAGCGGCCAACAAGTTTCGAATGTGATGAGCGAAAAGGCGAGGCGATAAAACTTGACACCGGTGTAGTACAAAGTTGGCGAAATGTCCAAACTCCCTTTCTCTCTTTCTCTCTCTCTCTCTCTCTCTCCCTTTCTCGTGGAATTTGCAACTCTCACACGGGCGTAGGTTGAATACACGTGCAAGTATTGTTTCAATAGCGCAAGCAATTGTGGCAAAAGAGCGATAATTCTCAGCGAATCCTTTAGAAAAACTTTACAAATGCAAAATTTATGAAATATAAAATATATTAATAAAAACCGAGAAGTTTTGCAAATCGTGATGTATATGTAGTACTAAACGGGAGCGTTCTTTTGCAGGATAATAATTTACATTGAAATATTGTTATCGGTGCTGTTCTTACGTTCTGTTGCGGACGATAGAAATAACCGCGGCTTACCCTATTTTATACCATGCAGTTACAGCACGGTCGCGAAGAGCCAACGCTACGCCATGCTCATATACCACGGACGACGTGACTTTATTCAAAGCGGATTCCATCGTTTACTCGATACACAGGACGGAGTAATATCGAGTTTGGATTTCGACTAACAAGAGACCGGCAACGAAAAGGCGGCTGGCAAACGACGAGCCCCGCGTAAACAATACTATCGAGTAATTAGACGTATACAAGACGATTCTTCTCCGACGGAATAGACAGTCGCGCCCCGTGCTCGAGACGAGGCGCATTGTTTTACACGGGTTTAGGACGACAATTCAAAACCAAGAATGCGCGAAGACGCGTCCCTTTGTCTTACGTTGCGTCTTTGTGCATTCTGCGCAAATTTTCAGTTGAAACTCTTTCGTCCTCCTTCCTTTCCTCAGCTCACTTTTGTTCAACTTGGTCGGTATTGTGATAACAAAATACTTGTTTTATTTACATCGAATTTGAAATATGCAAAATTTCTCGAACAAAAGTCACAAATAATATTTGTCATATCTTTGCATGCTCGTTACATATTCTCTATAAACAAGGAGAATATTTCGCGAGAAATACAGCTGATAGTAGCGGATAATGTAACGAAGGACCGATACATTCGGCCAATTGCAAATTATGCAGGATCTCTGAAGTATTAGAGTAACCTCGCAGTGGTTACAATCCGTGATTAGTCAGACGCGCGGAGCTAAGCCGAATCGTGTACACCTGAGTTCGGTAATTTACAGCTAAGCTATTGTAACATTTATCGGGCAAGTACGTGACAATTTCGAGCAAACTCTGCGATTATTATCATATTCGTAACCGAAGGAACAAGATTGGTTTTTCCGTCGCAATTTAAAAAATTATTTTTATCTTATTATAACTGTATATTGTGCTTATATTCGTAGATACATAAAATATATTTAATGCAATGGTTTAATACCATGGCAATTGAAATATTCTTAGAAGCATATGTTTATTTGAAATATTTAAATTATGTTTGCGATAAAATTATGTTTGTGAACAAACAGAAGCCACTGAAAAAAATGACATAAGATTAGTATACGCTATGAATATTTCACGATATAACAATTTCAAATTTAATCTAAAATTCTCCGGGTCTCGCCAAAGTTTCCTTCTAATGAGTTCATTTAAACGCATAAAATTCAGATCTTCCTAATTGCGAAACTTTTAGATGCACATAGCTGGGAATTAAATCATGCCGCAGTCGCATGATAAAATGGATCCATAATTCGAAAGCATCTCCGTTGCAATTCGTGGTAAAGAACATCTTGTTGCGATAAATATTCGGGCTTTACCTGATTATCTTTTCATCTAATTATCCGTAAGCGTCTGGCGCGAGGCTTGTTGACGCCCCTACGCAACACCGCAAAATGGTCTTTCGCACGGGAACCTTGTTACGCAGAAATTGAATTATTCCCGACAAGTGCCGGCTGCATGCATCATAATGTATACATAAAAAAAAAATCGCTGGCGCGTATCGCGCGTTGCTTTTAATGCAATCCACGTATGTAAAGTGACGTCATATAGAATGTAACCACATACGGATATGAGCAAATGGTTTTTACAACGCGTGCATTATGGCGATTGTAATTCTTGCCTGTTGCTGGAGCAGCGTGCACTTTAGTTTCTATTCTGAGAAAATATAGCTTTATAAAAATATACATATTTTTTTTTAAATATTGTTACATAAAAATTTTAATATTATATATATAATAAAATTTATTTAAAAGTGATTTAAAAAATTGTTATTTATTCATTTCATAATCCATTTGCCTTTCTCAGACTAAAAAAATATCTTGTTTTTCTTGTATAATATTTGCACATATCTTATATCTTTTTATACAAATTCTCAATACTTTGGAGAAGTTTTTAATCTGCATTCAAATTTCATTCTCTCTCTCTCTCTCTCTTGTCGAATGTGAAATGAAATTTCCGGTACGTTGATATTATCGAGCCACGTGTGTTCATTCGAAAAAATTTACGTGGCTGATTCCGCACATTCATTAATGATCATTCGTACGTTTAGAATTCATTATCGCTTTGTCGGGTTTCGCGCAAAATATTCGTTTACACGGTCATTCGTAAACATGATTGGCTCTAAAGAACTGACGATACGAAATCAAATTTAAACAATTCTAGTTTTTTATATTATTTTAAGATATTCTTTCTCTTACGGAAAGTAAGAGTGATTTTTTCCTTTTTCATTTTCTCAACTTTTTATGGCTGCTGCGGTTGTTAGTAATAATTATCGGAAAACGTAAAATAATAAAACTAGAGCGTTAAGTGGTAGTAACCACCGAGTGTAACCACTGGAATGTATTAAGGCGCATTTATACATGTTAAGATTCTTAGCCGTTGCGACCTTTTGGGGA